TGGCAGTTGGCCCTCTCCATGGACTGCAAGGTCCTTAATATGGTAGACTAGCAAGGCATCAATAGCTTTCATTCAGCCTCTTTCTCTCAGATCTTGGCTCCCAAATTCCTTAAGGGATCCATGCACATCACTAGCCTGCCAGAGAAGCACAAGAAAACTCCGGGTTATAGACCCACTCTTTGGCCAAGACTCAGAAATCAAAACCTAGACGTACATTTTTAAAAATAGAAGAGAAACGGAAAGACAAAAAGCATTTGGCTCCCCTCAACCACCTCCTTCTAAATGTTAAATTACAAGAACAGGGAGAGACAGAACAGTTATCTGCCTCTACATTCTCCTGTGATATTAAAAGCTGCAAACTCTCCATGAATAGGTAGAAACAGAAAAATGAGAAGCATTTTTTTGAAACCCTAACTCTTACCTATAGTTCCTGTGTTTAAGATAGCTCAGATATAACTCCATAATTTACCATAGAAAACAGCATCCGTCTTAGCCACTCAGAACCATGGTGTAATGGTTGGGAGTTACTAGGAGACACACTGCCACTAGAACCACTGCTCTACTTCTGGATTTTTGGTGGTTAACTGGAAAGAAGTATTTTGAGTTCATTTACCAGGGCTGGCTTGGAACTAAGAGTCTTAGATCTCTGTCTCCTGAGTAGCAGGATTACAGTTGTGAGCCAGTAGTGCCTAGCTTCCTGTCTCTTAATAGAAGACTTTTACCAAAAAAATATTAGCTTGTATTCTGTCAAAGGTGCCTGGAAAGGATTTATATTTTAATATCCATTAAAACAGGAGGGTTGGCACTTTTCCACTTGAGCCATTTCCAAGCCCTTTATGCTAGTTATTTTTCAGAGTCTCTTCTTTTTACCCAGACCAACCTGGATCATAGCCCTCATATTTATGCTTCCTGAATAGCTGGAATGCTATTTGTAAGGATTAAGTCTCCCCAACATGTTGCCCAGCTTGGCCTCCAATCATAATCCAAAGCACTGTCTCCTAACTAGCTGGAATTAGAGCTGTGAGCACAGTACCTCCCTACGAGAATTAATTTTCTTAAGTGTTCTTTCTTAGAGAGGTTAGATAATCTAGTCAACAGATAAGTCCAGTGCTGACTCAGAAGGCTAAGAGCTGAGGATTGCAGTTTGATGCCAGACCAAGCAAGAAAAGCCTTCAAACTCTTTTTTCCAAATAACTACCTAAAAACCAGAAGTGGAGTTGTGACTCAAAGTGGTAGAGTGCTATCCTTGAGCATAAAAAGCTCAGGGCCAGTGCCCAGGCCCCGAATTTAAGTCCTTTGGGACCCCACCCTTTGATCCAGTACTCTATAAGGTGGCTTCTCTTCAGTAGGTCATGTGACTTTTGTCTGATCAGAGTGGCCTTGACCTCACAAAAGTTTTCTGAGTTCATTCAGAAATTTCTCTGAGGCAGTGGGGCCAATTGGCCACCTGTAAATAAAGCAGAGCTGATCTTTAGTTAGTGTAATCTTCTAAAATCTCTTTGAGTTTTTGCAGTAGACTAGATTCTCATGGTTTTGAGGGAGGCTTTGTCCAGATGTCATTCCTATTCTGCTTCTGTCAGTAAGTCCATTTCCCTCCTGCCCAGATGGAGATAGACCAATGGTCTTAGAGCCTGTGAGAGCCTTAAGGACAGAAAGATGACTGCACAGCCTGCATTGGTGTTCAAGAACAGTGACTCCAGCTCACCCCTCCCCTTGTGACTCACATTCTGAAGCAGGTAGCTCAGAAAAAGAGAAGCCTTGTCCACTGGCCATCCATTGCCGGCCCTCTGGTGGATCAGTGCTTGTCCTGGGCTGCTAGTCTACAGGCATTCAGACAGAGAGTCTGGGAATTCAGCAACACAGTTCCAGGCCAGGTACCATCGCTGGAAGATCTGGACTTCCACAAACTGGAGACTCTGGTTATCAGTGCAGTGAGATGAGGGTGGGACCGTTTTTTTGTTTTGTTTTGTTTCATTTTTTGTAGCATGCAGAGGGGTCTCTGGGACTGGAGGAGGGGGTCATTCTGTGTTTCTCTTTCTGCAAGGAGGTCAGCAGAACTCACTCTTTGGGCTTTCTCCTGCCTTGGGGTCACCAGATTGTGTATGAGGGAGCTGATTACTAGATTGTGCTACTCACTGCCTGGCAGCATGTACAAGATCATGGGGGGGGGGGCAGACTCAAGTGTTCCTCTGGGTTGTAACCTCTCCTGACTCCCTATGCTGAAGTGAAGAAGAAAGTAAGGGCTGTGAACTGCAGTGTGTATTGTGGTTTGGTTAGTGAACTGGTTATAATTTACAGGATTACAGATCACCAGCGTGGAATCAAGTTTAGGCTTGTTCATTTTACTATATGGAAACTAGGAACTGATGGGAATTCTGACTATAAACATGGCAAAGTTTACCCAGACGTTATCAGACAGATGCATGACCTAGATCTAAAGTACACAGGCATGATGAATTATACAAGATTCTAGGCATTCACACATAGTGAGATCAAAGGAGGATTCTCTTAGGGGAAGAGCATACTGGTGAAATGCCTATGTGCCTATGATCATATAAAACAATATTTATCGAAATGAACTCCAGGAAAAGGAAATAAGAGAATTTTTCCTCATTTTTTCTTTTCTTTTTGTCATGTTTATTTGTCTTTGGAAAGGTAAAGAGGCACAGAAATGGAGGGACAATAGGGGGGAAATGCAGCAGTGGTACTCATTAGACACTATATTGAAAATGAACTATAAACTTGTGGGTGTGGAAGGGAGGGTAAAACTGGTAGACAGCATGCAAAGAGGTGACATTGTCCAAAAAGAAATGTGCTTATTACCTGATTTATGTAACTGTAACCCCTTTATCCATCACCTCTATACTGTCAAATGAAAATATGTGCATAAAAAAGAAAAGAAAAGAAATTATCACAGTAGCAAAGGGAAACCTGGCGCTCCTGGCTTTGGAAAGACTTAGACATTCCAAGCCCCACCATTGCTTTCTCCCATCACAGCTAGATGGCAGTTGACTCCATATATTCAGGATTCAGGTGATACTGATCCGTTTCCATACAGTGACCATGCAGTAAGCGATGAATGGGATAAATGTGGCTTTGGTTTGAAAGTGGTTAAGTAGGGGAGGTATACGTCATTGCACATGCCTGTCATCCCAGCTAGTAAGAAAGCCTAAAGGAAGATCATGTGGGCCCAGGAATTGGAACCAGACTGGGTAACATAGAGAGACCCTGACTCAAAATAAGTAAAGAGCAGAGTCTCAAGATAATGAACCATGTTGGGATGATCAGGGTGTGGTTCCCAGGGGCTCAGAGGGAAATTCTGATAAACTGGTCAAAGTGACACACATGTAGTATGTGCAGGAAATGGGTGAATTGAGCTGACAGTCAACAGTCAGAGGGAACCTGGCATCTTGGTCAGCCAGGAGGGAGGCAAGCCTAGGCCTGCATAGAGCATGTGCTGGAGCAGCTGGCTTCTCTCAAGTGTGCACATCTGCGGAGGTGACTATGACACAGAGCCTCCTTTTGGCTCAGGCCCCTTCCCACTGGGTCGTGGTTATGACCCCTGGTCAAGCTGGCCCGATTTTGGAATCTTGCCCATCCACGCCATGTAAAAGAGACATGTGAAAGAGACCAGGAGCCCCACAGAACATAGGTCACCACACCAGGTAGTACAGGTGGGTATCCTTGGAGGAAATGGCTGGGGCCCCTGGCTAAGCAGGAGGCATTAGCTCAGAGCACAAGCAGGAGAGCAGAGGTTCCAGCAGTCCCAGTGGCTGGAGCCCACATGAGGGTTAGTGGTCTGCTCCACATGCAGTTCCATGTGCCTGGGATGTGCCACAGAGGCCTGAAGTCCTTGCAGGCCTAAGAAGGCCTCAGCGGTGATGAAGTTCACTGTTGGAACCAGGGTGGCTTATTTCTAGTGTGTGACACATCCTCCCCATCGGTCCACAGGCTGGTGCACACTGTGGCTTTGGTGGAGACAGCCCACTGTCCATGTTCCTTGCCACTTTTGATGTTAGTGTTTGCAAGCTGGAGGGTATCCGGAACATTCCCACATCATTACTGTATTTCAAGAGATTTAGACTTGTAATTTAGACTTGTAATGTGGTCCTGGTGCTGTTTGATTTTGGTTCATGAGAGCTGAGCGCCACCATTTCTTGGTGAGGCTGAAGATCTGTAAGCGTCACCTAGAGTGGTCTGTTTCTCACACAATGTAAATGTTTAGGTATGTACATAACACTCATACGTGTTACATGTGTTTGTGTACATTGCTGTAATCTGTCCAGGTGCATGTGTGTACTTCAGGTCTGTGTTTCTCTGGTCTCTCTTGCCAGTTCCACATGGATTAGCATTACAGGAAGTGGGAAGCTTAGAGCTCTGTGAGCAACAAACACAGCCTCTAGGCCTTCTGTGTGTTTGGTTACCAGCCACATGCTGCCCCCTGTAGGAAAGAAGAAGATCCTTGCCTGGTGACTTCTATCTAAGCAGTGCCTCCACAGCCTGCAAATCAGGCCTGCCTCTGAGTCTGACCTGCAATGACCTGCAGTGTTAGCTGGCCAGGTGGAAGTGGGAATGAGTCCTGAGTCCTGTGACTCTGGCATTGTCCTCTGTCTTTGTTCATATGTCCCATCTGGCAATTTGTATGCCTCAGAAGATGGACCGTGGCAAGAGAGGTGGCAGAGAAGAGAGGGGATGCTGAGAAGCCAGAGCAGTGTGTGTCCTAACATCCTGACACTTGATTTTGCCTTTCCCTCTTCCAGTGTTTCTTCTGCAGGTCACAAGGAAGCAACAGGGGTCTTCAAAGCCCAGGAGGAGGGAGTGTCCACTTCTTACCTGGCCAGGGATATCTGGTTCTTGGAGAGCCTACTGCTTGCCAGCTCTGAGCACAACTGCTGTGTGTATCATCTGCACTTGCACAACTCCTGCAGCTTCCTCCTCCTCCTTCTCCCATGAGCCTGCCTGCTGAAGACACACCACATGTGGACCTCTACCCCAAAAGAATGTGTGGCCCCATCAGAGGGCTGCTTCTGGCGTTAGTGGTGGAATTTGGGACGGTGGTAGCATTTGTATCCATACCCCGGCTGACCTGGGAGCTTGGAGGTGAGAGCTAGTGCTGTGTGGGTTTAGTGGCACAGGGAGGGGACAGGACATAAGGGGACACTGGCATGAATGGCTCCCCACCCAGCTCTTGACCCACTCATTTTGTGTAAGCAGAGAACCCATGCTGCTGAGCAGAGAGATGCTTTGGTAAGTGGCAATATTCCTCAAGGCTTGCTCAAAGGCCTGACTAAGGGATCCCTGAAGGAACCTTCTTTCTTGGACTGTGTGAGACTTGGGTCCTTCCTGGGTCAAGCTCCTGCCCTGCGCACTGGGGAAGACTGGAGTGAGAGCTCCTTAGCTGAGTGTCAGGCCTTGTGTCTGTGACATGTATTTGCTGCTCTCTGGTCTCAGCTATGATTATCTCCTCCCCCAGAACCTGTGTCTTGGGAACTGGGACTCTGGTTGAAGAGATGGAGAATATAAGTACTAAGTGCTCAGCATGGGACTGCTTCCATTTCCAGGCTGATATCTTCAGAGCCAAAACCTGTGCTCTGTGTTCTGTGTGCACCTCTTTCTGTACTATATATAAAATTAGAACAACAAGTCTTCTGACCTGGACCTTCCCAATTTGTGTGGTTTTGTACAGCACAAATATCAAGTATTGGGATTTTTAGCATATATATATATATATATATATATATATATATATATATTCTCAGGGGTCTGTTGCTTAATGAAAACAATTTTAAAACAGATGATTAGGTCATAGAGAGACTGCTTTGTTCAAATTAATCACAGCATTGAAGAACAGGTATTCAAAGTCAAGCTTCTTGGATGAGTATTACACAGGTTATAAGTGGCCTTGCAGACAAAGAAAACTATGAGAAATAACATGTCATAACGAGCTTGAGACGCTTCTTAAACTCCTGGTTTTTCAAACAAAAGGACACATCAAAACTTTCTCAAACTGATGCCTGGGCTGCCAAAAGATGAAACAACTTTTTAAAAAATATAATGCTTATTTAGGCATGGTGTCCACATCTCTAATCTTTTCTCTTGGGAGCTAGAGGCCTGGGAATCACATCCTTGAAGCCAGAGTGAAACACCAACAATCATTTCATATCACAAGCATGAAACTTGGCATTCAGATGAGAGTGGCAACTGTCTCAAGACTTCTTTAAATTCTAAATTGTTTTGTTCTTTGCATACCAATCAGTGGCTGATTGAGACACATCAGTGGGTGGGCAGGTGAAGATGTCTGGCCTGGGATCTCCTGGGAGATCACATAATAGGGGTTTTAGAATTTGACAGAGACAAGAGGGTAGCCAGATGCACAGCCTTGACTCACAATCACTAGTGGAAGAACCTGGATAAGTGAAAGCCACTCATGCACATGTGAATATTGCAGCCCTGCTTTCCAAGGCTCTTGTTCTGTCTCTGCAGCAGGAAAGCCTGTGTCCCCAGCCCTCAGCCAACAGCATCTGCAGTACTCAAGGTCTGTCCAAGATTAAAAATGCCATCTTGGGTCTGTCTCTCCTTCCCTGACTCTGCTAGTTCCCCTTTCTCCCTCAGAAGTAGAACTGATGCAGTTTCATGAGCCAGGCATATCCAACTACTCAGAGCTGCTGCTGAACAAGTACCAGGACATATTGTATGTGGGTGCCCAGGAGGCCATCTTTGCACTGAATGCACTCAACATCTCCCAGAAGCAGCTGGAGGTAGGTGATGGGCATACTATACTTTGGGTGGGGTGCAGCCATGCTAGAGTATGCGAGCTCTCTTGGTCTCATAACCCACATTGTACCTTCTCTTTATGTATCCATATCAGGATATCCACAGACAGCCTGCTGAGGGCCCATTTCATTTCACCTTTTCCTTTGAATTTTTCATTTTGAATAAGTTTCTACCATGCCCATGACCAAAACATGTGATTACCACTACACTCCTATGGGTCCATAGGCCAGGCCTTGATTTTACTTTGCACCTGTTGTCCTTAAGGGAAAAATCCATGCCTAACCTTCATCTGTGCAGTCCTTAGGGGGAGGATTCTTGGCTGTCCAAATAAGGGGGAGGGGGGTGGGGAAGATCCAAAAAGTTCATGTTATCAACTAGTAATCAAATGATGTTCAAATTGATCACAAATACCTTTCTTTTGGGTTTTTTTAAAAGTTTTTAACTGTTATTATAAAGATGATGTACAGAGGGGTTACAATTTCATAGGCCAGGTAAAGAATATATTTCTTTTTGGACTCTCCCCCAAGTTTTCCCCTCCAGTCCCCACCCACAGGTTGTATAGTTCAATTTCTACATAGTGTCCAGAGAGTACCATTCATTGCTGCATTTGCTGACCCTTTATCCCTCCATTTCTGTGCCTCTTGTTATACTCTCAAAGTTATATAAATGAACAAACATAACAAAAAGAAAAGAAAAAAACAGCAAAAAAGAAGAAGAAAACCTCGTGGCTTTTGTTTGTTTTACGATTTAGTTTGAATCCATGTGAAATCAACTTGTCCCCACGAAGCCCCCTAGGCTGACTGCAGCTATTCGTTCTAGTTGAGCTGTTTCTTGGTCTGAACTCAGTTTCCTTTCTGAGAAAGCCATTCTGCACTTTGCTGTGTCTTGACATCTCTCCATGTATCCTAATAATGTCTGATGTGGGCCTCTTGTCTTCTTGCATTTGGCTCTGGGGCTGACCTGGGTGAGACCAGTGCTTGCTGGGAACAGGGAGTCTAGCTAGCCTCCCATATACACAGACTGCCCCCTCCTCGTCCACAGCAACAAGGCCAAAATGTGCTTTTCACCAAAATCACAAGTATATTTTTTTCACTTCTGCCTTCTCTCTTTAATTGGCAGCCACAAGTCCTGTATAAGCAGAGTGCTTCTACCAGCAGTTTAGTCCCTGAGTTCCAGTGCATGGGGAAAGTGGGGACAGATGCTGGAGGCTTGGCTTTGCATGCCAGTTTTCAGAACAAGGGGTTTATGACTTCTACGCAGAGGGCAAGAGTGAGTTTTCAATGGTCTGGTGTGTGTGTATGTGTGTGTGTGTGTGTGTGTGTGAGAGAGAGAGAGAGAGAGAGAGAGAGTTAGATGGAGACAGAGACAGAGACAGAGAGATCCTGGGGCTTGAACTCAGGGCCTAGGCACTATCTCTGAGCATTTTGTGCTCAAGGACAGCACTCTACCACTGAAGCCACAGCACTGCTTCTGGCTTTTCTTTTTTTCCCTTTATTAGTGTAGTAGAGATAGAATCTCACAAACTTTCATGCCCAGGCTAACTTTAAACCATGTTCTTCAAATCTCAGCTCCTTTAGTACCTAGGATTACAGAGTGAGCCACACCAGTGCCCTACTAAATGGTTTGATTTTTTAATACATTTCCTTTGCTCCCAGCCCTTGCAGATTAGCCCTATTTTGTTCCCCTTTGTAATGGACCTTATACAAGCTGAGCAAATGCCCACCACTGAGTTATGCCCCAACTCCAGGACCTTATTTGATGCTCAGTGGCAGGCTGAGATATGGTGGCAGGCTTTGGCCAGGCCCCTGCCACCAGGTATCCTGGGGTTGTTTCCTTATTCTCTGACCCAGGCTGTTCCAAGCTGCTGGTGAGTATCTGCTGTCCCCATCTCTATAGCTCTGCTCTATCTTCATCCCCAGCATCTGCTTGATTCCTAATTTATATTTGACACATCAGTGACTTTCAGAGCCTTATCTGGTGCAAATAGTATTTACCTCAGAAGTCACCAAACAGAATGGTGCTGCAGGCCCATCTCACATTCAGCCCTTCCTCTGTGTGACTCTGAGCTATGTTCTCCTGGTCCTCAGCCCAGGGTTCTGCCTGGTAGACTTTCTTAGTGAAAAGCCTGGGAATATGGTTCAGTACCAGTTACCATTTATGCCTCCATCCTTAAGGGTTCAGGTAGATGAGAAAACTCAGCTGCCTTTTACCTTCTGAGGGAAATTTGCAGGCAAGTGGGATCTTGTTCAGCCATTTGTGTGTCCCAGTTAGATGTCCAGTGCAGTGTTGCCACCTGTGTGGCTGTCTGCTCCTAGGAGAACACACTGCATTAGTTCAGAAAGACCCCTCACCTGGGCTCCCCTCTTCCAAGAAGGTCTGTGTGCTTTCTAACTGCTGGGCCCCTCACCTGTGCAAGTCTTGGAGTCTTGAATAATTCCTCTTATTATCTTTCATCAGTTTCCACCCCTCACCCAGGAAGGGGTGCTGGTTATTTTGGGAAAGTAAGGCATGAGTCTAGGGCCTTGTGATTCACCATCTGTCCTGTGCAGCTTTCAGCCCTGTGGTAGGTTTGGAGAGCAGGCTCCACACCAAAAGCTCCAGGAAAACAAAACAAAATAAAACAGCTCCTTCCCTTGTTTTCCCTCCATTACCCATGTGGCCCTTTCCCTAGAAGTCCCCATCCAGCACCTACCATAGCCCAGGTAATGGCGCACCTGAGGGCAGTGGGAGGTTCCCCCAGACTCCGAGATCATCGCTGTGGCCACACCTTCCCACCCTTCCTGAGGCCACATCTCCCTGCCCTCTCCATATATAGTTAATCTTCATCATTAGTCCTGCCTCTTGCCCCCTTGCAGCCTTGTCCCTTTTTCCCTTTTCCCCTCTCCCCTCCTCCCCTTTCCCTTCCTGCATGCTTGCACAGTATGCCCTCCCTGCCCCTCAATAAACTCTTTTCTGCCTAAACCATGTGGCAGTCTCCTTTTGCTGAACCTTACACTAACCCTATACCAATTCCATTCAGGAGACCCAGCAACCTGAATCCTCCTAAGAACGGTGCTGAGCTGACAGTACTCCTAATGCTTGCACCATGAGCTCCTGCCCACACACCTGTAAGAAACCCTAATTCTGCCACCCCTGAAAGAGGTAGCCTTTAGCTTCCCGTCTCCTCCTCTTCCTTTCCTCCTCCTACTTCTCCTCCTCCTCCTCTTCCTTTTTCTCCTCCTTCTCCTTCTTGTTTTACAACTAGACTTCAAAGTCACTCTTTCCTTAGCATGTGTTACCTGTCCACGTTCACATTCCACACATACATAAATATGTACTGCTCAGATCCAGGCTCTACTCTCCAGGAATCGGGGCTGTTTTTCACTTCCACACATGAAAGAGAACAGGACGCACTAGATCCTGCCTGTGTCTGTCTGCCTTATTTAATTTACCATAGTGTCCCTTCCCTTGTTTCTATCCATTTTGTTGCAAATAACAAAATTCCATTCTCTCTGTTTTCTTACTCTATTGTGTAGATACACCATGTTTTCTTTATTCATCTATGGATGGGCTACTGGGTGAATTTCAACTGTTAGGGTGTGTGTTGGGGGGGTTATCTTTTTTTGTTGTTTTTCAGTTTTTTGTGGGGCCTGAACTCAGGGCCTGGGTGTTCTTTTACTCAAGGCTATTGCTCTACCACTTTGAGCCACAGTGCCACTTCCAGTTTTCTGGTGGCTAATTAGAGATAAGTGTCTCAGGGACTTTCTGTCTAGGCTGGCTTTGAACCACGATCCTTGGATCTTAGCCTCCTGAGTAACTAGGATTTCAGAAGTGAGCCACTAGGACCCAGCTAGTATTTTGTTTTTTACAAGATAATTTTCCCCACTTTGAATACTTTAGTTTCTGCATTCTTTCATAGTGAACCAGACGGTTGTGAGAGCCTCCTACAGTCCACTAGTTTCTATCAAGGCGATAATCAGAATATTTAGGAAGGCTCCAAATGGCTCCCCAGCCATCCTCCCAAATCTGGGGTTTTACCTCATTTCAGAAGCATCTGGCCTCTGAACTCTACGTGCTTTTAAGCTGTGCACTTTTAACCCACAGTTTAGCTTTCATTCACCCCTCCCTAATAGGTACACTGGAAGGCCTCAGATGAGACAAAAGCAGACTGCATAGAAAAAGGCAGATCAAAAGAGGTAAGTGCTTTTGTCAATTACAGACACCACCTGTATTCCTTAGTTGTCTAATCTCACCAGTTCTGCATCTTCTGCATACAATTAAGTGTGGTGTGGTGGGGGATTATATGCTACTGTTGGGTTCTGTGAGGTCATCACAGAGCCTGGGAAACTAATTCCTTCTGCTCCTGTCTAGTGGAGACCCATTCACAATAAGTACCAGACACAGGATGCATTCAAAAAATGTTTTCTACATCATGAATTGGATTTCTTCAAACTCCTTGGATTTTTAACTGTAGAAAAGCTGTTTAGTGTTCAGTGTGCTCCCTGCATACTGCAGGGCTCTCGGCATGGTGACATTCAGATAGTGCTGGTTTGTCCCTTTCCTTAGGAATACCGGGTCACCTTCTCCGTCTACTCCACCAACCTGTCCCTGCCTGGTACTTGCAGCTGTCTAGGTTTCCAATTTTGGAGCTCAGTCATTGATGGTCATTGCTTATAACAGCTGAATTATAGCAAAGTCCAAACTGTTGTTGCTTAGCTGAAAATGAAATATTTTTTAAAAAACACATATTTTCTAAACATATTTAGGAATGTGTTAACCACTTTTCCTAAAGCAGTTCTCTCTAAATGCAGTGTTCCCTGAGAAAGCAAGAGGACAGCAGGCACTTTTGGAATCACACAGGATCTTTAAAGCAGAGGGAACAGGCCACTGACTCTGCCTTCCCTGCTCAGAGACAGAGGGTGGTCTGGAGCCCCTCCCTGCCCCTTGGGTGATTGTGAGCAACACCCCACCAGTTTCAAAACACTCACAGACAAAAATCTTCACTATTTAGATAAATTCTGACTGTAGCACATACAACCCAAGTACTGTCCACCCTAAAATAACATACTGGTCCTTCTGTGGGGCCTTAGTTTCCTGCTAGGGCCTTATTATGAGATGACAGTTGGTGACACCCCTCAGTGCCCAGCTTCCCCTTCAGGTGAGACTAGAACTGGAAGAAAAGTTATTTCCTGTCTGAGGGTGTGCCTACATGGGAGGCAGAGGGCTGCTGTGCAGCATATGCTTTGGGAAGTCAGCCAACTGAAGGAATGTTTTGTGTGTTTATGAGAGAAAAATAAATTTCTTTCTACAGTTATCCTTAATACAATTTGGGGTCAACAGTAAAACTGGTTTCTTTGTTTGGTCTCCAGGTGTTTGCCAAGTATCAATTAGGGACAGAAGTGAAATTGGCCTAGCACTTGAAAAGCTTGTAAAGGTGGCAAAGATAAAGTATCCAAGCTCAGCTTAAGATTTAGATGTTTGCAGAATGGCCCTTTACTGTGGAACTTGCTGGCTATCATTTGAAGTCAGAAGGAAAGGCAGGGCAGCACAGGACAGATTTCATATGTGGACATGGAGAGCACTTCAGTGGCTGCCTGTTGATGGTGTTTCTCACCCCACAGAAAGAATGCTTCAACTATGTTCGAGTGTTGCAGCACTTAACATATGATACCCTGTATGTGTGTGGGACCAATGCATTCAAGCCCACATGTGACTATGTGGTGAGTACACAGACCACTCACTTCATGGTCAGTCTTACTCATAGCAGCCTGGGCAGTGGCTAAAATAGAGTCAGTACACATAAAGTGAACTCTATCACAAATTTCACTAGGATTGTCTCAGGTCACAGTGTGAGGGCTGAGGCAACTGGAGGCCTCTCCAGAAAGCCTCCCCAGGTGTAGAATGAGCATGCAGCCTACATGGCTAATCTGAACTTTGGTGTTCCTCACATAGGATATGGTTCAAGGCAGGGCTCAGGGCCCAGTGATCCTTGGCACTGGTGGAGAGATATTCTAGGACGTATACTGCTGACTGCTGCCCTCTAATGCTGGGATCTTCATGTTCTGGCTGTGGTTGGCTCAGGATCACAGGATGAAGGTCCCGGTCGTGGGTGGTATGTGTGCTTGATCAGCGCATTGCTGAGTCTCAAGATGTCACCATTCATTGTCAGCTGTTGGTGGGACACTGACCACACTGCATGCCCCTCCTAGCACCACCCATTGTAAGTGATCTGAGGAGCATGGGCCCCTCCTGTCCTTTCCTGAGTTACATCTGGACTGCTCCAACTGGAGTCCTATCCTACTGCTGTGTGCTGCTGTGGAGAGGGTGAAACTCAGAGCGTGGTGTGTAAGCCTTTTAGAAAGGATTTTTTATTCAGATTACCAGATGGGTTACTTGACAGTGACCACCTGCAGAAAGCGAAGGAGCATTTCTTTGTATATAGATGCATGGTAGAGTTGAAAATGAAACATATTTTCTAGTGACCATCCCTGGATTTAATAAGTTTCTGCAGTGTCTCCCCTCCCCCCTTGCCCTGCTTAGCTGATGGGGATAGATGTCAGGAGCTTCAGGTAGTACCAAACCCTCCACTGAGTATCTAATGAGCAAGATGGCTTCTCAGTGACTAATGAGCAGATGGCATATATAGCATGGACACACAGATTTACGTCCTGTGCAGGCACAGCTGGATTGTAAAGGTCATCTTACTACTCAGACCACTTGGTTTGTTGTAGGTAACTGAACCCATGGGATGTGAAGCTGGCTAGGGAGGAAACTGCTGCAATATACAGCTTTTTTAATTAATTGGATTAAAGAATTGTAGAACACTAGCCTAATATGCAAGAAACCCTGAGTTTGATTTCCAGCACTGAAAAAAATCCCACCTTGTGTGAGAGAAATTACATGATAAAGTATAATCTCACTAGCGGTCCTAATGGTGAATTTAATGGCTAAAGTTTTATGACACATGCTCATACTCATAGCAATCCAGCAACTAAGATAAGAGGACCAGGAGTTCAGAGCTCATAGTGAGACACTGACTTCCATAAGAAAAAAAATTCACTTAGGAAACAGTCCTTGCAGGAAGATTACATGGTAATTGGTGCCCTTTGATGCTGGTAATGAACATGGATAAGAAGTGAAGATGTTTCTGAGATTAAAGACCTCAGTCCTAAAAGATAGACACTTGTTTTTGTTTAGGTTTAAAACTTTAAAAATAAAAGATGTTTTCTAGAAGTATTTTGTTCAGGGAAGAATATACCTCATCTGCCATTTGGGGGCATTTCTCTGCATTTCATCTGTCATTACATTTGATTTTGCTTTTCTGTATTTGATAAGTTTCCAATTGCTTCTGCAGTTGGTTCTACCCACATTATTTCTTCTTTTTCTTGTGGGGGGGGGCAGTCTGGTCGTGGGGCCTGAATTCTGGGCCTGGGCGCTGTCCCTCAGCTCTTCAGCTCAAGGCTAGCGCTCTACTACTTGAGCCACAGCGCCACTTCCGGCTTTTTTTCTTTTTGTTTATGTGGTGCTGGGGAATCAAACCCAGGGCCTCATGCAAGCAAGGCTAGCGCTCTACCACTGAGCCACCTTCCCAGCCCCCACATTATTTCTTATTCCGGTTGGGGTTTACTGTCAAGTAAAGAAATTACTCCACAGTTAGGATTTTGCTGTCAGGGAAAGAAATTATTCCATGGTTGAAGTCCTGGCCTCTCCTTTCTTTTAGTGCAGCTTGGAATTTCTTAGAGTTTTGAGACCATAGGTCCATTTGGCATAAGTCATGAAGGTTGCAGGGATTTTGCTTCTTATTTTTGTTTTCATTTCTAACAAAAAATAGTCAGTTACCTGATTCTTGGATAATTTGGTTCTCTCTGTTATTATAGTAAAATACTGCATTGTATTTGGTCACTTGCTGAACATGGCCTGTATTTGGTTCTTATTGGCCTTTCTAACAACCCTACAGCAACCAGCTTCTCTATCTCCATTTTCCAGATGAAGAGACTGAGGTTTGAGATACTGCATAGCTCAACCAAGGCGCTGGAGTGGAGACTGAGCCTGGTGACATACACCATGTCTCCAAGGGCAGGGCTCATGTGGTCCAGCACCCATTTTCTCAACTCCATTGGTCTTCCCAGAACAAGGAATCTGTCCAATTAAATGGTATAAAGACACATTGTTATAATGGAAGATCAGATGTCTTACGATTCCTTTTCTCATTATTTAATTTTAGAACAAAAAATCCTTTAAATTTCTGTGGTCAGAGCAAGATGGCAGAGGAAAGTGTCCCTTTAACCCTTCACACACATATACATCTGTCATGGTTGGTAAGTTCTTTTGCTCAGGTTTCTCATGCCCGAAGTTTGTGGCTTCCTACTGGCCTCTGCTTTCCTTCCTTTGTCTTTCCTGGAATTGTGTTAACATCACTTGCCCTTGCAGAAGATATACGTACCTTTACACAGACCTCTTCTTAGCACTGAAGAGGTTTGAATTCACCATTCAAAGGATAACTAGCCCAACATTTTAGCATACTGCTTTACATCCATCATTGGTATACAGCGTTCAGATATTCCTTTTGGGAGGGAAGGGAGCCACAGAGGCATATGCTTTATGATAGTCTCATAATTCTTCAGCAAATGTTCCTCAACTCTCCTGGCTATCTACTACTGTAACAGTCCCCAAATACTAGTGGCTCCATTTGTGGTTTTTCCACTCCATTCAGTCTTCACATTCAGTGCAGTGGATAGTGAATCACATGTGAGTATTCTGCCTTCCTGAAGATGAGCATGTTCTGAGCACATTTACTGCAGGTGAGGTCAGCTGTGTTTGTATCAAAAAGGAGGTGCCTTAAGTACATTTTGGCTTATAATGTTTTCAGTTGTGGTTTTATTAGGGTAAACCCCATGGGAAATGGAGGAGCAACTATGCTGCTATCATTTTACTGGCTGTGGGAAATTTTCATTTGGGTTCCATTACTATTCTTTAACTCAAAAACTTCACCTCAGTGTAACACCTGTCAAGGGAAAGACATGAATGTACACAGTGGATGTGTACGGGAAGTTAGAGAAATCTCATCTCCTCCGTATGAAGGCTTAATTCAGTTAAATTATTCTCAGCCATATGTTTGTGGCTCACACCTGTACTCCTAGCTACTCAAGAAGCTGGGATCTGAGAATCACAGTTCAAAGCCAGCCTGTGCAGGAAAGTCCATGGGACTTCTATCTCCAGTAAACCACCAAAAGCTAGAAATGGGGCTGTGGCTCAAATGGTAAAGTGCCATTTTGAGCAAAAAAACAGACAAGTGAAAGTATTCAGACCCTGAATTTAAGACTCAGTAATGGAGAAAAAAATTGTTGTTAGTGCAATGACAGTGGATTCAACTGATATGCTATTCCTCCATTCGCCATGTTTCTGGGTCTATGCAGATGGAGAGCTTTATGCTGGGACAACATATAATTTTTTGGGAAGTGAGTTCATCATCTCCCGAACCTATTTCTCCAGTCATCTGCGGACAGAGTCTGACATCCCATGGCTACATGGTAAGACACAAGGTCTATAATCTGAAGAGTGTGCACTATTATACTTCCCTCTGGCTGTTCCTGTGCTGTAAGATTCACTGGAGAGGACCACAGGAAGAGCTAGGGCTCCCATCATAATCCAAGGCTATGACCTTTGAGGTGCTTCCTGCTAACACAACACTGTTTGAAAGCTGCTTGTATATCCTGCCTTGAGAGTGGACCTCAGATGGGATGTGGTGTCATTTGGGCATGACATGAAAGATGCAGCCTTTGTGCCATCTTCCAGGGCCTGGTGAGGTAGTGTCAGGGTGCCTCGTCACCTGCATCCAACACCTCATGATGTCTGAAATTTTGGGTGGAGAGCAGGAAACTTTTAGCTGGGCTTTTCTTGGGGATGCTGGCAAGTGGGACCCAGGGCTTTTTGAAGCCTCTTGATCTCTGGACAGGTCCTGATGGCTATGTGCAGGGACAGCCACCTACTCACTGGAGTAGGCCAGCCGAGAATATGCATATGTGGCTGGGGCTAATTGGATCAAGTCACTTGTTTAAATCAGAAGATGGTCTGTCTGCCAGCTGAAAGGCTCCAGAAAGCTTGTGGGTGGAGCTTGGGAGAACTGTTCTGCAAGGCCAAAGCCAGGGCCAATTCTGTGAGGCGGAGGAGAATGAGACAGGTTTGGTCAAGCTAAGCACTATCATCAGTCCCAACCCTGAAGTCTCTTTGCAGTGTGACACACACATTCCAGAAGTCCTTGCAGGGAGTCCCTCAGGTCCCCAAACTGCAGTGACTGCCTGTGACACCATGGGGAGCAGGCAGGAACGCAAAACTCCATGTGCAGGGTCAATCTTGTGTCATCTCTCTACAGAGCCTAACTTTGTCCATGCTGATGTGATAAGAAAAACTCCCTCTGGTTACAAGAGTGATGAGAACAAAGTCTACTTTTTCTTCAATGAAGTGTCTGTGGAGTATGACTTTTTTTTCCAGTTAAAGATTCCCCGCATTGCAAGAGTGTGTGTGGTGAGTGCTACTCTGCTAGCCTTGGCTTTTCCAGCCTGAGGGAGTGGGAGCAGGCCTGGAAATGCACCTTTTCCTCCCACCCTATCCCTACCTGCCACAGCAGCCTCTTCTGACAGGCCTCTGTTCTTGGGAGCTCCGCTGGTGTCTGTGGGCACTAAAGTGCCATTCTCACTCACCATGCAACTGAGCAGCTGTGGTTCTCGGCATTGTCCTTAGACCTCCCCAGTTAGGAGAAGTCAGTTTTGCTGAGTGTACTCACCAGATTCTGTGAGATTTTGAATCTCATTGTTTGAAGCTCTCAGTCACATGAGAGTGAATTGATACCTTAAGTGTAAAAAGTGAAATCTGCAGTAAAATGTCTGTCTGTCTCAAAGCCTGCAGTGTGTGGAGGGGCAGAGTTGAGGATGCTATTACATGCAGGTGCTTAGGTAGCACAGAGAATTGCCTTGGGTTCAGTTAGTGGCTTGACTGACGTTTGGGGCAAGTAGACTAACAGGGCTCAGATAGAGCATTGGAACCCAGGGGAAACACAATCACTAAAGTTAGTCACCAGATCTTGCCCCCCATGAATGCCTTTAGAAGCTCAAATGCCACATTGCCCTTTGATGTGGCAGTCACCATGCATCATTTTACCACAGAAGGAAGGATCTCATGCCAACATGGCACAGACTGGGTACTCAGATGCCTCTTCCTTAGCAGCATAGTATGCAGGGCAGGATGTAGCTGTGGTGCATACTTGACTTGTCTGGCTTACACCTTAGCAGCTGCCAAGACCTCTACCCACAGCTTGCTGACTCAGTTCCCCAAGTGTCACTCACTGTTAGTACCTCATTCCTCATCCTGCAGGACTGAGGTCAGGTCGATACTATTCATGTATTCATTAATGCACTTTTATGCCATAAATGTGCCCGTGGCAAGAGTCATGTATAAATTAGTCATAGAATGATATTAGTGGTTTTAACTAATGATAGAGCCGTGGGGCCATATAGTATAATAAAGTTGATGTGGTGTGTGTGGTGGGTGGGCACAGTAAGGCCAGAACTCCCCACAGGTATGCAAAGGGCCTAAGAACAGCACTGGCAGGAGGAGCCAAACCCACGTTGGCCCAAACATTTACAGGATGTTGCATGAATATCCACGAGCAGGATCCTGCCTCCTCTCACCCTAACCGAAACATAAGCCTCTGGTCTCCACAGGTCTGTTGGGAGGTGGATCTGTTGTCCCCTAAGAGTCCATTTCTTGTCCTTAACTTACCTCCAATGATAGACTGAGGCCAGTATGAACACAAGCCCCAGACCCTGCCACCCTGTGAGCACAGACCTTTGCACTGCCCCTCAGGAATTGAAAGCCCATGAGACAAATGGCCACAAACCTGCTGGAACATTCCTCTGCTAATCATCAGAAAGAGAAAGAAATTCTCTTAGGAAATTCATCACTTGTCCTAGGATTTCAAATAGAGATATAAAATCATTATTTCTAAAATAAATGAAGCAGGCTGGGAAGGTGGCTCAGTGGTAGAGTGCTTGCCTTGCAGGCATGAAGCCCTGGATTCGATTCCTCAGTACCACATACACAAAAAAAGCCAGAAGTGGTTCTGTGGCTCAAATGGTATAGCAATAGTCTTGGAAAAAGCAGCTCAGGGAAGGTGCCCAGGACTTGAGTTCAAAACCCAACTGGCAAAAAATAAAGTAAAATAAAGTAAAATAAGCTTTTCCATGTCCCGTTCTTCTATATGCACATTTCCCAGGTTCAGTTCAATGTGTCCCTCTTAATGAATAGGCTGTTTTTTCCAAGATCCCTAGTAGGTTCCTAAAAACACATATGCTACCAAAACCCATATATGCTTCTTTCCTAAACATATATTTGAGAAACTTTAACATGTAAATTAGGCACAATAAAAGATTAGCAATAATAACCAATGATGCCTAGAACAATGATACAGTCTAATAAAATTCATGTAGTAAAAATACTGAACACAGAAACTGAAACTGGCATGGTCCGAAAAGAAATGTTCTATTTACCTGACTTATATAACTATAACCCCTTTATATATCACCTTTATAATATCAAGAAAGCATTAAATAGAAAACCTGGACCTGGGAATAAAATTATGAATACAGTAGGGCGTCATCTGTGTTCTCTGCAAGTCACAAGTCGTATAAGCTTCACAGTTGTCTCTCACTGATCAGCACATTAAACAGTGTTCAAGAAAGAACCTACTAGTTCCAAAGCCCTTTAGCCATAATTCAGCAGGTAGAATGGAAATAGATGTATTCACCCAAGATGGAGTTCAGTATTAGAGATTGCCTACCACTGAGTGACCCTTGCACTTTTCTTGACATTTTCACATTTTCACTTTCAACTTTATTGTCATTTCACAAAAGACCCTGCCTTTTCAGAGCCAGAACTCAATAATGCACTAAAGAACTATAAACATGGTTGTCATGAAATGAGTCTTCAGAGATGGGGTTTTGGGGGGTCTGCTTTTTCTTTGTACTGCACAAAGTCAGATTTGAGCCATCTGAGAAGACAGGTGGGCACTGTATCTGTCACCTGGACTGTTTGTGGGGTCTCCTAGCTTCCCCTGTAATACCCTGTCTCTTGGGTTTTAGGATGACCAGGGTGGCCAGAAAATCTTGCAGAATAAGTGGACATCCTTCCTGAAGGCCAAGCTACTCTGCTCCCAGCCAGACCTAGGCCTGATCTTCAACATATTGAAAGATGCCTTTGTACTGCGCCACCCAAGATCCAAGGAACCTGTTATCTATGCACTCTTTACACCCCAACTGTAAGTGCCCTCTGTGGGAAGGAGTGCTTCCCTCTAGCTGCTGCACTGCAGGCCTTAACTGGCCTGTGCTCGCTCCACAGGAACAATGTGGGTCTGTCTGCAGTCTGCACCTATGCACTGTCCACGGTGGAGGCAGTGTTCTCTCGTGGAAAATACCTGCAGAAATTCTGTGTGGATTCCTACCCCAAGTGGGTTATTTACCATGGTGAGGTGCCCACACCTCGGCCTGGAATGGTGAGTGGGACAGAGGCTGCAGGGAGGTATGCTCTTCTGGTTCAAAGTTCAAGGCTCAGTGGCTGAAATTTGGTACAGGTGCCAGAGCTTCACTGCAAGTGGTTCAACTGATTATACTCTCCTCTCTGTACAAGGTGGGATGTTCTGTGGGCCTGAGGTCCCAAACACTGAGCCTAGCTCTTCTCTTTTCTATGTGCTGTGTAATGGTTTTCACCATACTGTTATTATACATGTTATATATGTTATTATGTTAAGCTGTGGTACTGACATGCTGTTTCTTGAATTTACCATAATACATAATTGCATAGTACAGTTGGGATGCATTCATTTTCAATTTCCTACAGAGATCTGCACAATTTGGCTACCCATTCACTATTACATATGTAGTAAATAGGTGATTGTGTGGTTCTTTGGGCTGGACTGGTCCTTGAAGTTTCTCTAGACCTGAGCCTGGATGTCATACAGCCATCATTCGTCCTGGGTAGAGTGAAATACACTATTTTGTGCTCATGAATTTTGGCATTTGCATATGATGAATCTGGTACCAAAAATCCTTCTTGACTTTAATATTTTATGTTATTTAGAACAGGTCTTTCAGCAATGCATAGTTGGTATATTTCCATCATATAAGTGTTTTCCATTTGAAAACTTTCATAGTTTTCATTGATACATAATTCCTCCCCTGTTTTGGGGTAAAAGATAGTTATGTCTCACGATCATGTTTTAACAGTGTAACACTGTTTCCTCTGACTACAATGGAGAGGCTTTCTCTTGCTATCACCCTGTGGAGATATTCAGTGTAGGTTCTGCAATGCTGCACTTGACCTGATTGCTGACTTTGAACTTGGTCAGGCACATTAACTGGAAAAAATGTTGTCCTCATAGTGCATTAACAGTGAGACACGGGCAGCCAACTACAACAGCTCTTTGGATTTACCAGACAAAACACTGCTGTTCGTCAGAGACCACCCTTTGATAGAAGAGTCAGTAACTCCAATAGGCAACAGACCCATATTAGTAACAAAAGATGTCAACTACACCCAGATCGTGGTGGACAGGACCCGGGCCCTGGACAAGAACTTCTATGATGTCATGTTTATCGGCACAGGTGTGTTCTGAGGGCTTCACAGTCACAGTGCACATGTCCTTGAGTAAGAGGTCTGGGAGGTTCCTTAAAATCCCCTACTTAGATCACATAGCATCTGCCTTGAGGTGACTCAAGGGGTTTATGGTAGTGGGAAAGGATTTCTGAGATATTACCCCAGCTGGCCTTCCAGATGCAGGAGATCATCAGTGCCTGGGATGCTTACAAAGAAACAGGGTTGGGCTGTTGCAAAGAAGTCCTGTTGTTCAACAACAGAGGTCATGCCTGTACCAGTGGTAGTTGTAAACACTGATCAGCCTGGCATTTCCTAAGTGCTTTTGGGAGGCTTTGTCCCCACAACTTGGGAGAAGCCAAGCTGAGATGGGTCCTGAGCTGTGGGGGCACACCTCCCCTCAGCAGGGCATCCAGGATCAGTTTTGTGTGATGGAAGCAGTGGCTGGCAGTCACAGCAGCTCTCAGGCACCAAGCCCATCACTGGAAATGTCCACCTTCCTTCTGCTCTGCTTTCTCACCCTCTTGAGGTCTCTGTGTAGTTGAGTCCCTGAAGAGCCAGTGGATCCCAAGATCCAACTCACATGAAATCTACCATCCATTGTCTCAGTGCGGACTCTGTTGATGAAGGTTGGTAGGATCAACCATGGGATAGGACTTCTACTTCATAAGAAAATCAGAGTAGCTTGTCACCAGAATGTGCAATGGTTTCTTTACCAAAGGCTTTCTTCTTCATTCCTAATGCAACATTGTCCTCTTAGTCTCAGCATCTCAGTGAGTGAGGGATGCGAGAGTCCAAAAGGAGTATTTGCTCTGATACCGGTGTATTTGGTGTGTCCTTTTGGGGCTTTCTTAGTGACCTGTGGATTTGACCTTGCAGCACGGGGCACCCTGCACAAAGCTGTCCAACTGGAGAAGGGCATGCACATCATTGAGGAGACACAGCTTTTCAGGAACTCTGAGCCAGTCCAAAACCTCTTGCTGTCTTCAAAGAAGGTAAAGTTGTCCGGGCAGCAGGGCTGGAGGGCTGCCCTGCTGGGTGGCTCTGAGCTTCTGTCACATTAGGTGGGCCTTCCTGAGCTTGGCTGCCCTGGTCTGTCTAGCCCAGATGAGCTGGCCTTGGACATGCACACAAAGCCCCTCAAGGGATGTGGGATTTCAAGGTTGGCAAGTGCACACTCAGAGTTGAGCAGATGAAACTTCGAGTCATTATTATACATGGTAGATCCCATGTATTCAATCCTCATGAAAATACATTCCTGTGCCTACATCTGTGAGATTGGAGACTGTGTTGGTGACATGTCAGGTTGTGCAGAGACTTTTCAGGATAGGACCTTGTGAGAAAAATGTTTGTTCCCTGTACTCTACAGCTTGCTGTCTCAACACTGCACTTGCTCCCCAGCCTGAGGTCATGAGGATTTCTTCTCCTGGTCCATTAATGTGTTCTGGAGATTTAGATGCTGTTAGCTTGGGCTCAGGTGCTCAGCTATGCTTATAGGTCCATTTAGCTATAGACAAGTCATATCATAGCAAGCCTGACTCTGGATACCAAGTTTAGCATGTCCTAAACATTTTTTTTGGTCGGTCATGGGCCTGAACTCAAGGCCTGGGTGCTATACCCCAGCTCTTCAGCTTAAGTCTAACACTCTACCACTTGAGCCACAGAGCCACTTCTGGCTTTTTCTGCTTATGTGATGCTGAGGAATCAGACCCAGGGCCTCATTCATGCAAGACCATTGAGCCACCTTCTCAACTCTGTCCTAAACTTTTCATTGCTCATAAATTGTTTTTACGTGTGTAAACATGTGTATGTTTGTGTGTGTGTGTCCCTTTGGCTGTGGGAAGTGGTGCCACTCGGTTTGACATCTTCTATGGACTATGAGAAGAATGCAAAAGTGAGTCCAAGCCAGATGCTGGTGGCTCATGCCTGTAATCCTAGCTAGTCAGGAGGCTGAGATCTGAAGAACACCATTTGAAGCCAGTCTGGACAGGAAAGTCCATGAGAGTCTTCCTTCCAAGTAACCAGCCAAAACCTGAAGTGGAGCTGTGGCTCAAAATGGTAGAGTGCTAGCCTTGAGAAAATGTGCTCAGGGACAGCATCCAAACTGAGTTCCAGCCCCATGACCAACAACAACAACAACAAATCTTGAGTCCAGATTCCGATTGCTGTGTGTGACCATGTGATCCTGGGCAGGCTAACTGTATGCTCTGTCCCTCTGTCCCACACGCTACCCTGTGGGAAAAGAACTTCCTCACTGAGTTGTTACAGGAGTAACAGCAGATTACAGGAGTCTTGGGAAGTTCAGAATCCAGGAAGAACCTGTGAGCTATGCTGTCACCTGTCTCACCAAGAGAGGGGATGGGTCAGAGGCCCTGCCTGCCATGTGCCTATTAGCCCAAGATACTTCCCTCTGCTGGTTGGTGTCTCCTAAGGGCATCAGGTAGAAGCCCCATACTGACCTGAGTTTATAATGTGGACTGGGCTTGTTATTATGTTTGGTGCTGGCTCTGCCATGTGGCTTCTGAGTGTACCTTATTTCAAATCCTGGCTCTAGGACTGCAAGTTCTTTGGTCCAGTGTGTATTTCTCTGTGACTGGGAATTTCAGGTTTCTACATGTGCCAGCATGGGGTAGAGATGGACATTCACACCGTGTGGTCCTTATGCGTGCGGCCTTCCTAGAGCTTTTCCTGGACCTCTTCCCACATGGCACCTGTGAGAGAGACCTCATCTACCTATGTAGAACAGAACCTACCTTTCATTAGCTGCACGTTTCCAGCCATCCCTGTAGGGTCCCACGTCTACTCTATCTACATCCACAGAGTATGAGGAAACTGGCTGATTTTCAGACTCACATTTCAGTGAATATAGAATGCATTGACTTGCTGGTTCTAAAAGGGAGAAGAAATTAAATCCCCTCGGTGAATCTGTGAACCCCTAACCCCTAGATACTGAGTTTCCATGTTAGTTTGCCATTTTGTCTTGAACCAAAAGGGCAGCGACTTGCAGGGGGACTGTATGGCCAGTCCAAGCCAGTTTCCAGAAACCTCTTGGGCTATCAGACCAACCATTTGCTTCAGCCAGACTGGGGCAAGCACGTAGGAGACTTCCATTGTGCAGTGTTTTTCAGAGAGAAGCTGGGGATCCCAGCACAGACCTCCATTGAAAAGGATGCTCTTTTCCACAGTTTTTCTTAGGAACCCCAACAGGAGGAGTTTCTAGGGCACATGAATTCAGAAGCCAGTCTCACAGTTCAATGCTGTGTATACCTGCCATCAGCCAGAAGTCAGCCATATGGCTATACTGGGGATGCTGGTGACAGGTAACTTTACACCCAAAAAGAGGAGCTGAAGGGTATAGGTTCTGCTTGTTTACTGCTTTGGCTACCCCCATATGAGCCTCCGCTACAAGGGAATATAGCTCAGTTGTCCAGGCCAGGTAAGAAGGCCACGCTTGCTATGCAATCCTATACCTTCTTGGTATCTATAGGTTGATGGGTTTAGCATGCCTGGCTACATTGCCATAGCTGCAGAGAGGGGCCAATCTGCAATAACAATACTGCTCAGCTCTGTTCCACCCAGCTAGATGGGGTCCTTCCTCTACTGACAATCATCAACCTGTCTGTAGATGAAGAAGCAGACACTACAGAGCCTGGTAGCAGACAAGGGGTCGCAGCACAACAGCTCTTTTGTCCCACCACCAAGGAAGGAGGGAAATGAGCTCTCTTCACAGACCTGTCTCCTCTGATGACGTTGGCATTTTGGGGGCTGGTCTCGACTTCAACTCTGGGCCTAGGTCTTCCCTGAGACTTTTTGCTCAAGATTAGTGCTCTACCACTTGAGCCATCGCTCCAGCTCCACTTCTAACTTTTATTTATTTTATTTTTTAGCAGTATATTGGAGATAAGAGTCTCATGGACTTTCTTGCCAGGGATGGCTTCAAACCAGTCTCCTAATTAGCTATGATTGCAAGCCTGAGCCACCAAAGCTCCATAGGACTATTTTTTTTTAATTGTGGCAAATATACATTAGAGGCTGACATGTGGTTAAGTGGTGGAGTGCTTACCTGCCATGTGTAAGAACTTGTGTTATATCCTGAGCGGTAGAAAAATTTATACATGAATTGGCATTTACCATCATTTTGTATAGTCTTTGCTGTGAAGCCATTACCACCGTCCATCTCCACAGCTTCTCATCTTCTGAACTAGGACTTTCTGCCCATCCTATTCTCATGCTCCTTACACTATCTGCCATTTGTCTCTGTGAATTTGACTATTCAAATAAGGAGAACCATGCAGCCTCTGTCTTTCTGTGGCTGTTTTTTGTTCTTTTTACCTCAGTCTGTGGGGTTTACCCATGGTATAGCATGTGTTGTAATCTCTGTCGTTTTGTGTGTTTGTTTGTTTTTGTGCTTCTAGGGCTGATCCTCTATCATTTGAGCCATATATTCATTTTGACTTTTTGCTGCTTGTTTTAAAGATGGAATTCTTTGACTTTTCTGCCTGAGCTGGCTAGAACTATGATCTTTCCATCTCAGCTTCTTAAGTAGGTAGGATTAGAGCTGAGACATTGATGCTCAGCCCTTTGACTTTTTAAAATTTTGTTTTGAAATGATTTGGGTTTGCAGAATAGTGATGATGATAGCAGGCAGGGTTCACATGCCTCCAAAGAGTCTCACCTCACACAGCATGTCACACAGGCAGTATCATCTCCTAGACCCTGGCCCAGCCCCTTAGTGCTCCAAACAGTGTTATCTGCTCCAAGAGCCCACAATGTATTAGGGCATCACACCAACTTGTATGCCTTCTGAGACCTAGCCAAGCGAGTTGTGGCATGTCTGGCCTTTTCTCTGACTGTCGTGGGGACATGGGTTTGGGAAAACACAGTGGGAAGAGGATATATAGTTGCAGTGTGGTGGGAACATCCCTCCAGCTGATGCCATCAGCAGTAGGCTCTGTCCAAGTCTCCATAAGTCCTTTTCCTTCCTTGTGTATCAGCATTTCCAGCCCACATCAGGGATGTAGGAAAGGTAAGGCCCTACCTCACAAGAAAGGCATGTCAAAGACTGTGAGCAGGTATGTTTAACCCACAATCATTGCTTTAACAGGATAGATTTTGATATTGTTAAGCATAGCTATCCCTCTGTATTCAGTGGCCCTGTAACTCTGGTTTCCACATTTGTAATTGACTTAGCCTACATTAATTAGAAAACATTCAAAAATTGAGTCTGTATTGAACATGTGTCCATATCATCATTTCCTGTACAGCACAGGGTAACAGCTATTTATGAAGCGTGTACACTGCATTGACTATCACAAATCATCTAAAGATGGGGGGGGTATAAGTAGATTCTACCCAAATGCTATGCTGACTCCACATACCACTGAGCAGCCACAGATTTGGTATAGGGCGAGCTATGTTCCTAAAACCAAAATCTGCTGATACTAGAAGCATATTTTTCCTTCTAATGTGAACATGCAGCAGAGTGCCTACCCTGAAGGCAAGTGCTGCCCACTGACCTGTGGGATGTTGTTCTTCTCTTCCTTCCGTACTTTCCCATTAGACAGCGAGGTACAGCTAAATGGCCAGAATGTGGTTTCATTGGAGCTGCAGCCAAGCCCCATCAGGGAGAAGCAGGAATGAGTGGGACCTGGAAGGTAGAAGGCCACTGGAATGTGGGCTTCTTCTACACAACCTGAACACCCGCCACAGCCAACCATCTGCCTCTGTCTGGACTAGGAGGTCAGGTGTAGCAACCCTTCCACCTCCCCAGGGACACCACTTCTACTCTTCAGGACTGTCCATACTGCCTCAGATATCCCAGCAGGATCCAGCTCAGTTTCCTCCCTGGAGTATTTCACACTTCAGTCATGTAATTCTCCAGACTAATCTGGAGGAAGTCATCCTCTTTTCCTCTCCTCTGAAGACCAAAGCCTTTTTCCCTTGTGCATCTGGACTTTCTCAGGTAGATCTATAGCACCTGGTGTTTAGAAACTTCTAGCCTGTGAGACTTAGATCTGTAACAAGGACTAAGAGTTCAAACCAGATGCTGGATCAATGTAGAATGTCTCTTCTGAAGGTGAAGTTGTGTTTCATTTGACTAAATACCAACTACTGTTTACCCTTAGGAATCTCTGATCTTTCTTAGTCAGGGGTTTTCTAGGTCACTAATGTGAAACAGAATTCCCAGACCAACAGTCCTGATGTAGCCAACAGTCCTGATAGCCTATGTATGGGTACTGTGTGCCACCACGACAGTGGCCAGACATGACTTGGAGTGGGTGACATACCAAGCCACAGTCCCAGAAGTTGGAAGAATCTGAGAAGTGCTTGACTCTGCGTAGGTCCACACAGGAGCATGGCAGCTGATTTCCTCCTCACAGAGACAGATGAGTGGAAAGCCACTGGTGTTATTCCCCATTGATTTGGATTACCAACCTTCTGTTCATTCTTTGCAAGTGCTAATAGTGTCTCCACACATGGATGCTGGACTCAGGCTTCAGTGATACAATGCCTGTCTTTGTTGGTGAATTCTGTTATATGTGCCAGAATGTGCTGCCTTAGAGACTGTGCTGTTTGGTCTCTGGCTGTAGCAATGTCTCACCTGCAGGGAGACTAAGAGCATAACCTGCTCTGCAAGAAAATCCCCTCCACACGCAGTTAGATGGAGATTGAACAGCCTGCTCCTGAAAGAGAAAAAGGAACAAGGAAATGGGACTGGCAGAGGGGGCGTTCAAGCCAAAGACCCAGTTAGCCTTGTCATTTTGAACTCAACACACTGCCTTGACTTTCACACAAGCTGTAATGGACTGTGGTATTGGCTCTCTGTATTCTTGTTAACTGGATGGATCTGATTTAGAGAAGCCTTTCTCCTTCATGCAGCACTCAAGGTCACTCTTACCATGTTCCCACAGCTGCTGGAGAATCTCAGAACCCTTGCCTCACTAGGATCCAGGTTAATCCTGCTATATCTCTGCTTCCCACACACAGGGCAGCAAGTTTGTCTATGCCAGCTCCAACTCAGGAGTGGTCCAGGTTCCTCTGGCCTTCTGTAGGAAGCACAGCAGCTGTGAGGAGTGTGTGCTGGCACGGGACCCTTACTGCATCTGGAGCCCCTTTAAGGCTGCCTGTGTGGCTTTCTCTGAGGCTCTGAACTGCACCAGGAGGTATGCACTGGTACTGTGGGTGAGCAGCGCTGTGAGTGAGCAGGAAGTGATGGGTGTCCTTTCTCTTGCAGGACTTGCATTCAGGACATGAGTGGTGATGTGTCTTCATGCCCACGTGAGTTCTCCCTGTTATACCATCCCCTCAGGAACAGTTAGGCCAATCAACCACTTCATGGTATTTTTCTCTGAAGGGTGTGTGTGTGTGTGTGTGTGTGTGTGTGTGTGTGTGTGTGTGTGTGTGTGTGTGTGTGTGTGTGTGAATACTCACACGCACGCTTTTTCCCTTGCTTGAGCAAAAGGTATGTGTCGAGTCACATACTCTTATCCTTATCTATTTGGAAAGAACTCCTTGTCTGCAAGTATCTTTTCAGTTCTGATTATCTGGAGTTCAAGAAACAAAACCAAGACCTATTACGAATGGAAATGGGGACTGGGAAGGTGGCTCACTGGTAGAGTGCTTGCCTTGCATGCATGAGGCCCTGGGTTTGATTCTTCAGTACCACAAAAGCAGGAAAAACAAAAAGCTGGAAGTGGTACTGTGGCTCAAGGGGTAGAGCACTAGCCTTGAGCTAAAGAACTGAGGGACAGCGTCCAGGCCCAGAGTTCAGGCCCTACGACCAACAATTGGGAACACTTGAGTTCACATAGAACAAGCCTAATTCAAAGTCTACAAATTTGAAACATTTTTTTAAATTTTCAGGGTTATTATAAAGGTAATGTACTGAGGGCTTACAGTTATATAAGTCAGGTAAAAGCACATTTCTTTTCTGGACAATGCTATCATTTCCCTCCCACTCTCAATCCAAAACATTTTGAATGCTAGTGTTGTAACACAAGGGCCAAATCACATATTGCAAAATAGATTTCATGGACAAAATTATTTAAAATATTGTGTACGTTTACCTCTAGGCTTATATTGGATCCACTTGAAACAAATGATTTCTGATCACCTAATGAGACATATAAGAATATTCCAAAATCTGAACAGATTTGAAATCCAAGATACATCTGGACCCAGCACCTCAGACGAGAGATCTATAGTCCATAATTTTTCCACCTACCCTTGGCAGCCTACTGGTAACCAGAGGCAGGGATTGAATGAGGCCAGGATTCTCTGTCTCATTCTTCTTCCCATTTCTGACCAGATAGTGATCTTCTGGTGAGGAGAGATGAAAAAGAAGGGAGGAAGACTGGCATGCAATATAAGCCTTTTCTGGGCCACCAGATGCACAGCGGGGTAGAGCTTGGCCTCCCTGGCCTGATGAGCTTTCTCCTGGGACACAGAGTGGAGATGAGATCTCTGCTGCTCTGGTTTCCTTGTCCCTAAGAGTTGCTGGCTGGGTCTCATCTTACTTTTTGGTCAGGTATGTCTTTGTCTCAGTGCTCCTGAAGTTCCATCTTCTCAATGGGTAACACTTCTGTGTGATCTGTGATATTATCTTATCTTTGGAAGTAGGTGAGTACCCTTTCAACAATAGAGTTGTCACACCTGTGCACACTATTTTATGTTCTAGGAATATATATATACCAGAAGATTGTTCACACTAAATTTTGTATAGCATACCTCAAATGCTCCCAGAAGTCCAGCATGGCCACGGTGGTATGGAAGTTCCAAAATAATATGTTGAAAATCGTAAGATCTAAATACAGTTTTGCAAGTAAGAAAAACTTGATCATCTTTAACCTTTCTGAGACAGACAGCGGGGTGTACAGCTGCCTATCGGTGGAGAGGATTGGCAACACTACAGTCTCTCATGTGCTGAAGAGCTATATACTGGAAGTGAAGCATGACCCGGACCCGGACCGCTAGGAAGGGAACATATAGGTGAATAACACAAAGTGTCATTCACATGGATGTCTTTCCCTCAGTGCTAGCTATTCAGACCACTGTCATCAGAGCTGTCATCTCACTTCCCTAGCCTTAAGCACTGCATTCTTTGAATGAAAGATGGTCAACACCACAGTATGCCCTACTCAGAGATGACAGTATCTCAGGTCAAGTGACCACTGGCTCCCTATGATCTCCTTCATCTTCATCCTCTTCCTCTTGGCCTAAGTTTGCTATAAAGGCTACTTGCTCAGATGGTGCTTCAAATTCTGCTTAGTCCTGCTACTCAGGAAGAAGCCCAGTTGAATTTTTCTGACACAGTATAAATGAGAGTTGTGAAGTTCATGAGCTTCTCCCAGCAGAATGGAAAGCAGTCAGAGCCAGCCCTGGACACCATCACCAGCAATGCCTCCACTGACTGACCAGACTCATAGAGGTCCAGTGAGCTCTCCACCAGAGAAAAGCTATTCGATGCCAAGTGTGAATTGAGGTTCACCTACTTAGATGCCAGGCGGGATGGAAGGCTAGTCCTGTGTTCTCACCATGTCTTGGGGTCTGTGGAGCGAGGTTTGTGTTAAACCTACTCAGTAGCCCAGTCTCATCATTGTACAGCAAACTTTGCCCTTTGTCCTTTCTAAGCATGTTCCAGACAGATTTTCTGATTCTGACCATTCTCTACTTTTGCTTCCTTCCCTCTGTGGCTCTCTTGACAATGACTGTCCTATGTCTCTTGACAATTGTCCTATATCCAGTAGGCAGGTTTTGAATGAGGGAAGGTGGTTGGATGCCTCCCAGGTGATACGGCCTTGGCTGCTTCTCAGAATCTCCGGTCCAGATGGAGGGAACTTTCCCAACTTTTGTCGGTATAGCTGTCCCTCTCACACTCACTGCCAATGGATTTCCCCTTGGCCTTAAGACTGCCCACCCACAAAAGTAGACCTGTGTGGATGGTGCCACTGGCTACAGGCATAACCACAGCATCCTGGTACTCAGAGCTACCATTCCAAATGACTTCTGTGACTGTCACTAAAGATGTAATTGGGTGGTATGGTTTTCATACTCATCTTACTCTCTCCATTCCCAATCTGTAAATACCCATTATGAGCAGACTTTTGATTCCATGACAAAGACTAATAAAGTATGTTTCTATGTCTGTGTGACATCGTCATCTTCAATATGTTGGGAATTGGTCATTTTGATGGCAACATCTATTTGGTTAGAGTTGCTTTCTGTGTCTCTATTTTGAATCCTACCCAGTTGGGATGGCTCTGAATAAATTTGAAGTCATATTGACTTCTTCAGACTGTTAATTTCTTACCCATATAATGGCCCCGGCTTGGTAGCCCTGGACATCCTTTCCTCATATTCCTGCTCATTTCCTTCTCCATTTCTCCCTCTCCAGAATAGGGATGGAGCCAGGCTAGAAGGGAGGAAGTAAGCATGATGCCACCTAATGTGGTGGGGCAGGGCATGATGTTGCTTCGGTTTCACATTATCTCAGAACATGGTAGGACATAACAGGATGTGCCTTGAAGTGTTTAGCATTGCAAAACGTGGCTGCATGTGATCTGCTGGGGCTGGGTATTGCATGTGGCTAGGCCAATTGAAGTAAATTTTTACCCTTTCCCATCTGTTTTTTGGAACTATATTACTAAAACCTCCTGTGCCTCTCACATTTTGTGACATACATCCTGACCTATGGATATTTTCCCTCTCTGCATATGAGATGTGATAAATGTATATTTGGGAAGTTGACTCTCATATATTGTAACTTCTTTCCAGTGGAGGAAAGGGTGACCATTGTTGAGTAATTCTTCTGGCAAGGTTAATTTTAATTTTCTTACTTTTAAAATATTTGATATTTGGCCTTTCAAAAGAGTGTAATTTTGTAAGCAATGAAAGAATGCAGACTTTTGCATATGCAGAGGGTTTAGAAATGCAGTATAGAGGGAAATGTTGTGAGTTAGAGACACTGATCCATGGTGGGCTGTGTGTTGCAATGACAGCTGGTTGTGGCCCAAGCAGTCCAGACCAAGTGACACTTCCTTCTCTTTTTTTTTTTGTAGATTTTTTCTTTTTTTTATTGTGAAAATACTGTACAGAGGGGTTACAATTACATGGGCAAGATAATGAGTACATTTCTTATCAAGCATTGTGGCCTCCTCCTTTGTTTCCCCTTCCCATCCCTTCCCATCCTCCTCCTGCCCACCTCAGTCCTCCTCCCGCCCTGCCCCCAACAAAGTTGTAAAGTTTGTTTTTGACATAAGGACTTGTACATCTCATTGTTGCAATGAATCCACCTGTATCCCTATTAAAAAGATTTGTTTTTTCCTTCCCCTTCACAAATTGTACCGACATCAAATACAGTGAAAGCAGGGGTTATACCGTGGGGGAGGGACATACAAAGCAACTAAAAAACAATCTTATAAATGTGTTAGAAACAATTGCATGAAAGAAAAAACATTTGAATACATATCTTAGGGTTCATTTCCCTAACATCAACTTACCTGACCTTTTCTGCTTGACTCAGACATATACTAGT